ATCTATCTATCTATCTATCTATCTATCCCCATACACCCCATCTATCTATCTATCCACCCCCTCTATCTATCTATCTATCCCCATCCACCCACCTCTATCTATCTATCTATCTATCTCAAAGATACAATTATTCTGCGTTGCTCTGTTACCTTGAAGAGGATCTCTTCCCAAATACACAGATTTTCTATTGCAGCAGGTTGTGCTGGGTTTGTGTGCTCGTTCGGTTGTCGGGGCAGCACATTGTTGGGCACGAAAAGACAAATGTGGTACCATTGAGTCTGACTCTGCTCTCACTCCTGATTGGTGCCAGCATGAGGCTGAAGTGATCAGGAGAGTCCCATGGAGCCAGCCCCTTCCCATGCACTGCAATGGAGCTACCTTTGCTGGATCACGGCAGTCGAGGACATGGTCTTTTTTCTATAATTTTTCGACACACACTACCACTTAGGACAAGGGCCCGGATCCACACAGGGCCGTGGGCATTGCAACCCTCACGGCCTCAACACCGAACTTTTAGGCACCTAGAAAATCCCTGGAACGACACTGGGGTCCACAAAGCCTGACTGAGGTGCCTCGGCTCCTTGTACATTCTTAGGCCCTGCCTCGCCCCTGTTCCCTAAGGGGATGGGGAGAAACAAGCACCCAAGAACGCGATGCACAAAGCCCCCCTGCTAGGTGGCAGCTAAGCTAGCCAATGGGAGAGGCCCATAAGAGGGGTGGGTCCCAGGCCTTGTCCCTCTCAGGGTGTTAAACCCCTATCTCTGCTTGGGGCGCACAGCCAGGACCTCGCTCCTGGAGTCAGGTGGCTGTGGTGCAGGCGTTGTTTCTCGGGAGAATGAGTCAGATGCCTGCCTCCTTCCACACCAACTGGCCAGAGGAAGCCAGGGCAGTAGGTGACCTACCTTGTAACTGCTAGCCCACTAGTGAGTGCTCTCTCCTGTGTGGGAGTGCGACCCAGGTTCAATTCCCCCTCTGCCTCAGGGAGTGAAAAGATTTCAACAGAAGTCATCCCCTCTCTCAGGAGAATGCTTCAGCCACAGAGCTATGGGATAGTCTCACATTGGGTGCCATCAGCTACTCCTGATCAAGCTGTTCCTCTGTAGCTTAAATATATTTTTTTTGGGTGGTGCAATCCCAGGACATTGGACTGACAAGGTGTGGGTGGTGATACCTTTTAATGGCCCAACTTCTGCTGGTGAGAGAGACCAGCTTTCGAGCCACACAGACCTCTTTGGGCGAGAGTCCTTGGGTGAGAAAGAAAGGGAGAGAGTGAAAATGACTCTGCAACACACTGATTGCGCGCTGTTGTATTCATTCAGCTGGAATCAATGGGCCAAGGGAGTCAATGGGGGGTCACATAAGTCTGTCACTGTCCAACATTACACAGTGTTAAACAAGGCTCAGGGCTGGGTATCCAGAGATCTCAGCCCACTCAGCCCCAGGGCAAACACCCCAGTCAACGTACGCTTTAACCTTTTATTAAAGACACAGAAAGAAGGAAAAACAGTTCAAGCCTTTGATGTGTAAAGTTTTGAGAAAGGCTTTTGTTTCAACAGCGCCCCTTGTTCCCTTTCCCTTTAGCTGGAGAGAGAGTGGCAGGCTTGTAGCTGGTATCAAAGATGGTAATAACTGTCCTTTTAGGGAAAAGAGAAGACATTGGCTAAGAGGGACTGGAGGGGCATCATCATCTGGGTTCCTCTCTCTGGCTGGGTCTGGTCAGAACATCTCTTGGGATTGAGACGAAGAAGGTCTGGGGTCCCAAGAGATGATGGGGGTGGCAGACATGATGGTGAAACTTGCTCCTGTTGCCAATTTCCCACCCACCAATCTCTTTCCTTAAGGACCTACAAAGGCAGGGATGGGCAGAACAGCCCCTCCCCTCATTGTTCTGCCCACCAATTAGGCCTAATTTCGGACACAATTTTGGGTCAATAATTTTCAGTCCCCCACTGTTCTTGTTGACCAGGCACGATCGTTACCCTGTCCTTGAGTTAGATCAGGAGACCTTTTTGTCTGTACTACTTCAGTCTTTCTGTCTCCTGCTCATAGCTTTTCCCATCAACGTTTGTTATTATGGGTCACTATGACCCACCCTGTGAACTGCCACATATGGTGTATGGCTGAACCCACAGTTCGGGTAAGGTTGTAGGCCCAATTATTATAACAACACTCACCTGGGCTGTGGGAGACTCAGGGTCTTGTCCCCCAGCTCCAATGACTGTTTCATTATTTATACACTGGGGAACAACTTCACTGGGAGAGAGACTGAGCGATCCTGTTGCAGACTATCCCAGAGCCCAGTGATTGGCGTGCACCTCCTGAGAGGTGGGAGACCCCACGGCAAATCCTTGCTCCCTCTCAGCCAGAAGGGGAAACTGAACCTGGGTCTCCTTCATCTCATGTGGGCGCTCTAACCACTGGGCTAAAGTTGGGCACTGGCGGCATCTCTGTCCAGGTTTTGAATGGGACCCAGTCCGGTAGATGGTCTCTGAGCAAACATACTGGATTGGGCCCTGCGGGTGAGCCAGGCAGAGGAGCACCTATCTTCCCCTGGTTCGTGGAGTGCACTGGGGCGTAGGCGGGAGATGTAGGTGGCCAGCAGCAACCCCTGTGTCCGGAGACAGAAACAGAGGCTCCTAGGGAACGTTCACAGCATAAATGTAGGCACGGAGGGAGTTTAGGCACCTATAGGGTTCGGTGGCAGCTGAGTGGGTGTTTGTGGATCCCAGTGGGGCCTAAAACTGGGACTAAGGTGCCTGAGTGTGGGATTTCGGTGTGCGAGTACCTCTGTGGATCTGGGCCTATACCTCATTGTCTTGTACGTGGTATGGCTCAGTGCACGAATGTGATATGAACAGAGTATGAAAGATTGTCTTGTCTTCGGTTGCTTTGGGTTTTCTTTCTTTCTTTCTTTCTTTTGCTTTATCCATCTGTGCTGCAGAATTTGTTTCTTTAAATTCCTTCCTCACTCTCTTTTGGGACTCAAAGGAGCATCAGCGTTTCCTGACACCTGGGGATCAGTGAGGTTGCCTAGCTGGCCAGAAAAGACCGGGGGTAACTGCCCTGGGTTAACCCTCAACACGTCCCACCTGGCTTCTGAAGAAAGCAGAGTTAAGCCTGACTGGGACCAGAGTGGGAGCAGATGAAAAGAGCCCTCCCGGCTTTGGGGGAGGGGAATTCAAACGCTGGAAGCTGCTGGCTGCCTGATCCCCAATGCTGGGGTAGTTAAGCTACATCTGCTGAGGCTAACACCGTAGAGGAGGCAGTTGGGGAGCGTGAACGGTGACTTAAGGGTGTTCTTGTTTTGGTGCATGTCCTTTGCCAGCTCAGGGGCCGGCAGATAAAACGGCTCTTCCATCTTCGAGAGGGAGAGGGAAAGCACCTGTTATTTCCCTTTTCTTTCTGGAAGCCAGAGCCCACACTTGGGGTGTCCCTGTGATACTCTCACTGATGGGAAGTGACCTTCTTTTGGGGGGGCTGGCGGGATCTGACTCCGCCGCAGTGCACGCACTGACATGCATTCTGGCAGAGATACGTCGATCCTGGGTCTCAACCCCTGCCTTACCCCAGTGCGAGGCTGACATGACCCCATGGGTACTGGTATAAAACCGGGCTAAGAGAGAGGAGAATCGGGCCTGTACATTTACAAAGCCTATGGGTCTGACTGTCTGCAAAGAGTCATTTCATTAACTGGTTTAAAAAAATCCAACAAATGTTTAATAATTAAACAAGCAATAAGTTGTGCCAGGAAGCCATGGGCACGAAATCACATTGATGGTCGGGGGAGACCCACAGATGAGCTGGGAGTTTCCAAAGCCTGAAAAGTGCCTGTTGTGGTTTGTTAACGCAAACTAAACAAGCCAGCCGTCCCCTCTGCTGGCTAAGGAGTAGGGCCGAGGGCTTGACTTGCCTTTCCCTCTGCTCCTTATCAGGAGCGACAGCCCTGCCAATCTCTACAGCCCACACAGGGTTTCCGGGCTCTGCGATCGCTCTGTGAACCACCCCGGAGCTGGGAGGGGATGGGGAGGAAGAGACAGGGGCTCCTGGGGGCATCATGCCTGCACAAAGGACGAGGAGAATATGTGGATGCAGCAATTGCTACACCTGCTCCGAAACTGCCTGCCGATGAGGAGTAGCACGACAATAGCGGCCTTGCCCTACGCTGCATAATCACACGAGTGCCTGGAAACTGAAGTCAGTAGCTGAGGGAAACAGCACTTAATATTTTAAGCCACAGCTCTGGTTTTTAATCAGTCACAGAAGCATAAAAATCAAGGGGATTTATAAGGATGTATACTTGCTACTATACAGGGGAAGTTCTCTTAGATCTATCTATCTATCTAGCTATCTTAAGATAGATCATAAGATATATTGGAATTAGAAAAGGTTCAGAAAAGGGCAACAAAAATGACGAGGGGTATGGAACAGCTTCCATATGAAGAGAGATTAATAAGACTGGGACTTTTCAGCTTGGAAAAGAGACCACTAAGGGGGGATATGATAGAGATCTATACAATCATGACTGGTGTGGAGAAAGTCAATAAGGAAGTGTTATTTACTCCTTCCCATAACACTGGAACTAGGGCTCACCCAATGAAATTAACAGGCAGCAGGTTTAAAACAAACAAACAAAAAAGAAGTATTTCTTCACACAACGCACGGTCAATCTGTGGCACTCTTTGCCAGAAGATGTTGTGAAGGCCAAGACACAGGGTTGAAAAAAGAACCGATAAGTACATGGAGGATAGGTCCATCAGTGGCTATTAACCAGGATGGGCAGGGATTGTGTCCCTAGCCTCTGTTTGCCAGATGCCTGGAATGAGCGACAGGGGACGGATCACTTGATGATTCCCTCTGGGGCACCTGGCATTGGCCACTGTCAGAAGACAGGATACTGGGCTTGATGGACCTTTCGCCTCACCCAGTCTGGCCGTTCTTATGTTCTTATCTATCTATCTATCTATCTATCTATCTATCTATCTATCTATCTATCTATCTATCTATCTATCTATCTATCTATCTATCACCCAGTCTCACCATTCTATGGAGAATTAGGGCACATATCCTGGAATAACACCTAAGCCACTGGCCATGCCCAGGTTAGGTCTTTTTTTGACATAAGATCCTTTGGATCCCTTCACGAATCTGTTTGGTTTTCATGCTGTAGATGACAGGGTTGAGCACTGGGGGCACGAAAAGGTAGATGTTGGCCATGAGAACATGAATGATGGGGGCGGCATTTTCCCCAAACCTGCGAATGATTGACAAGCCAACCATGGGGATGTAGAAGATCAGGATGGCGCAGATGTGGGAGACGCAGGTGTTCAGGACCTTGATGCGCTCTTCCTTGGACGTGATGCTTAAGACCATCTGAATGATCATAACATAAGACAGGATAATCAGCAGAGGGTCTAGTACCACTATGAGCAGGATTAAAGTTAAGCCATACATATTATTGAACGTGGTATCTGAGCATGCCAGCCGTATTATATCCTGATGCAAGCAATAGGAATAGGAGAGCACATGAGACCTGCAGAATGGCAGAACTGTAAGAAAACAGATTAATGGGACCAGCACCAACGTACATCTACAGACAATGGCCAGTCCTATTTTAGCAATCCTGGGGCTGGTCAGGATGGAGGTATATCTCAGAGGGTTGCAAATGGCCACGTAGCGGTCAAAGGCCATGGCCAGAAGCACCGAGGACTCCATGAAGGAAAATGAGTGGATGCAGATCATCTGGAGGAGGCAGGCGCTGAAGCTGATTTCTCGGGAGTTGAACCAAAGCACACGGAGGACCGTTGGCAGCGTGGACAGAGTCAGACCCAGGTCCGTGAAGGCCAGCATAGAAAGGAAATAGTACATGGGCTGGTGGAGCCATCGCTCCGCTTTTATAACAAACAGGATGGTGCAGTTTCCCAAAATTGCAATAGCGTACATGAAAGAGAAAGAGGCAGCAAACCAGTGGTGTCCATGCTCCAGTCCCGGTATGCCTGTTAGGAGGAACACTGAGGTGCTGCTGAGGTTGGCACCATCTGCTGCTGACATGCTGTGCTATGGACTATGTCCCATTTGGGTTCAAATCTCCCTTTCCTGAAATAGTAATGGAGAAATATACAATTAAAGCTCCAATTAGATTCAACAGAGCAGGATAAAGAGTCAGATTCTTTTTCTCTTGCCGGGAAAAGCAGATAGTTTTGCAATCAAGGCATTGGCTGGGTTCAGTTCCCATCTCTTCCACAGGTTTCCTGTATGAACATGAGCACGTCGCTTAATCTGTCTGCGCCTCAGTTTCCCATGTGAAAGTGGAGCTAATAATCCTGATTTACTTCTGTGACAATGCGGTTCCGGTGGAACCCAATTGAGAGTGCCAACTCAGGACAAATTGCTCAAACAGGGCAGTTACAGCCCAAGGCTGGGGGTTTTTTCCACCTCTAAGGCAAACCAAACCAGCCAGACTAAGAGGACTTCGGTCTCACCCCACTGGCTAACCGCAAGTCTCACAAGCAATCTCCTTAGACACTCCAGTTTCCCAGTATCACCACCAGTACCACTCGTTATCGGGACAAATGGTTATGAAAACCAATACCCAAGTAAAAGAAAAAGGTTCTCCTGATCCCAAAGGACCAAGCCCCAGACCCAGGTCAATATACAAGTCAGATCTTACCCACAAATCACAACGTTGCCAATCCTTTAGAATCTAAAATCTAAAGGTTTATTCATAAAAGGAAAAAGATAGAGATGAGAGTTAGAATTGGTTAAATGGAATCAATTACATACAGTAATGGCAAAGTTCTTGGTTCAGGCTTGCAGCAGCGATGGAATAAACTGCAGGTTCAAATCAAGTCTCTGGAATACATCCCCAGCTGGGATGGGTCATTCAGTCCTTTGTTCAGAGCTTCAGTTTGTAGCAAAGTACCTCCACAGGTAAGAAGCAGGATTGAAGACAAGATGGAGATGAGGCATCAGCCTTATATAGTCTTTTCCAGGTGTAAGAACTCCTCTTTGTTCTTACTGTGGAAAATTACAGCAAAATGGAGTCTGGAGTCACATGGGCCAGTCCCTGCATACTTTGCTGAGCTACAAGGCGTATCTGTCTTCTCTCAATGGGTCCATTGTACAGCTGATGGTCCTTAATGGGCATCAAGCAGGCTAGGCAGAGCTAATCTCAGCTTGTCTGGGATGTCACCCAGAAGCGTAGCATAAGTTTGCCATACAGACAGTATAGAGCCAATATTCATAACTTCAACTACAAAACTGATACACACATATTGACAGCATAATCATAACCAGTAAACCATAACCTTGTCCTAGACACCCCATTTGACCCCCTTTATACAAGATTTGGGTGCCACTACAGGACCTTGGTTGCAACAATGATCTATACGGTCCCAGTTTATGTCAATAACGTCACAACTTCACAGAGGTGGGCAAGCAAACATCCATTAGTAATTGGGAGCTGATCAGATTCTCTGGTGATGAGACCCTATATAGACTGTGTGAAATTAAAATGTCTGGTGTGAACATGTACCAAACTTCTATTTCTTCTATGAGCCTCTAAGCTCTATTTCTCCACAGAGAGAGACAGATTTGCCTGGTTTAACTGTGGTTGTTATTAAAAAGTCAATGTTTACCAACGTTACCATACAAGGAGTTCATTATTGCATCTGGACCTGCACTCAAGGCATGCTGGATCACTCCAGAGTGCTGTTCCAACACTTTGGGGAAGAGCCGGAACAACCGCTTGTGGTACTTCCAGGACACGTGTTCTGGAGCGTCTCGTGGTCTGCACTCCCCCTTTGGTCTGGACGTATAAGAATGGCAAAGTGGCATTGTTTGACCCTGGGGCATGTGACTGCATTGGCTCACTTGGGATGGACAATGGAATTAATCGATTTACTCCTGCACCACTTCGGAAAAAAGCTCCAACCCAGCTGTGCCCTAATCCAAGCTTAGGCCGCTTGATGTCCAGGGCATGCTGAGCTGCTCCCGCTGACTTCTCAATATCAGCAGCTCTGAAGATCAGGCTACTTATTTCAGTGCCAAAATATGGATTTTGGTGCCTGACTTTTGGTCCCCTGGCTGGAAAATCCTCCGAGAGGCTCAGCTCCCCCACCTGTCAATGCCCTTCTGTGCCTCAAGGAGGTCACTGGTTCTGATCTGCGTGAATATGCGTGAAACTGAGACAGAGACTGGGTTAATTTTCAGATGTCCACTAAGAAACACAGACACTAATGCACTGTCACATCCCAATGGTCTAGCTCGCCCCTGATCCTGTGCCAGCCAGTGACCAGTGCTGACTATTCCACTGGAAGAGGGGTGGAGGAGATAGTATGCGTCTCTCGCCTCGTGCTCACTTCTTCCTGACAGCTGTGAGATGTGTGAGCAGTGCATCCCAGCCAGCTAACGCGTGGAATTGTGCAGTGCTGTACCACAGGAGAGGAGAGGGGTTTCTGCCTGGCCCCCGCCGGAAACCAGCATATGCCCAGAAGCATGAAGACCGAGAGCCCTTAGTCATAATAATTTCATCCTCGCTTGGTTGTGCTTGGCAGCACGACCTGTTAGAATCAGAATGAACCTAGGAATTGTCAAACCGGGTCAGACCCGTGTTCCATCAGTCTCCTGTCTCTGACAGTGGCCAACAGCTGATACTCCAAAGGCAAGTGCAACAAACCCTCAACAGATAAGGGATAAGCGTCCTTCCCTCCCCTGCCCATGAAAGTCTCAGGCTAATCCCTAATAGTACAAGACCTGAACCACGAGGTTTTATATCCCTTACCAAAAAACAATTCTGATTCTAGATATTCTTGTTTTGTTATCCATAGAAATATCCATTCCCTCGTTCATGGATCTTAACATTCATTGTTAATTAGATAGATAGATAGATAGATAGATAGATAGATAGATAGATAGATGGGG